TTTTTTTTTTTTTTTTTTTTTTTTTATCGAAGTATCTGGACGGGGAAAATTTGACCCAAATACAGCTACAATGACCGGGCGTTCTATTCGGGTGAGGACGGTAGGAAATTCAGGAATTTTATTCATCTGGTTCCATCGGGATTCGAACGCACATCCACATTTCAACAATAGTTTATGTGCGCACCAACTGAGCTATAAGCCCGTTGGTGAAAGCAGGACATTAGATGATGAGGTTTCAGGGCTAAGTTGGCGAGGGGTAGTAACATGACGTGAAGTCGATGGCCCGGAGGGAGCGTGGTCACGAGTCTGCCCAAAATCATAGCTTTTGGGGGATAAAGGTACGGATAAAGTTTCGGGATGAAGTAACGGATGAGCTCTGCGAACCACCCCGAGATTTTCCGAGGAGGGTCTAACGAGGCCCCAAGCCCGTTAGCGAGAGGTCAGTTTTGTTTGGGAGACTGGTCCCACTGGTCCGTCACATACGATAAGAATGACGAACCGGGTAGGAAATCGGGGACATCATGGACATAGTCATGGATATAGTCATGATTGTGTTGACGGTTGGGGCTGTGCCACAGAAGGTTCGGAGTTAGGGTGGATTGCAGGATCTAGTCCCAAACGGAAAGCAGTTCGGTGTTCCGGGTGCAGAGGCTGGGTGGATAGAAAGAGGGGAGACAAAGAGGAGGAGGAGGAGGAGGAGGAGGAGGAGGAGGAGGAGGAGAGATGCAACGGCAGAATCCAATTTACGCCGATGAACCTAAGTCATTAAGGAATGGAGGAGGAGAGGGTAGATTTGAGAGAGAAGTTGCCGCTGGAGGAGGCGGAGGAGGAGGAGGAGGAGGAGGAGGGGTAGGAGACATAGGCAGTGGAGGGGGAGGAGGAGGAGGAGGAGGAGGAGGAGGAGGAGGAAGAAAAAGAAGGGTAGGTAGTGGAAGTTCTCGCAGGTCAAGCACTGGCAGGTCCCTCCTCTCTGCATCTCGGCAGTGGCTTCTGGCCGTCCGGGAGTCCGTGAAATCGGATGATGCCAAGGAGTTGATCAGGAGCTTGCCGGACTCTGAAGCGGCTGCTAGCAGTAACAAAGCTAACTTGATCAGTGCCTTTTTCTTGCCTAAGGACGTCCCTAAATCTGTTAGAACAGCCGTTCAATGGACATTGAGTATAGTTTGGGTGCTTGGCTGTCTATCTATCTTGCTTGGCACATTTATGGGCTTATTGGTCGCGAATCGTCGGAGTCGTACCGCCGAACTGAAGTCTCAGTGCAAGTCCATTAGCATTGTGGTTTCATCCCTGTTCTGGCCTTTGATACTGCAACAGAAAGTTGTGCTGGAGTTTGTCCGCCTACTCCACACGGATCCACCTGTGTCTCAACTCACACAAGAGCTCTTTGTTCACTTCACCGCATCGACGGCTGCTAGCAGACCCAACGTGTACCGAATGGCTTTGATGGAGATTATACAGGACAGTGAAAGAATGGCCTTTGAGATCGAGAAAGGCTATACCATCCGGGACTCTCGACTCAATCCTGCACCGAAGGCGAACTTTTATGCCCCCGTCCTGTTTCATGAGATTGCACCCTTCACCCATCAAGGGCTTGACGGGTTGCTGGAGTTCTCTACAGGTCTACGCCACACAATCTTGAGGGCGTACGGAGGTGGTGCCAGGTGTCAGTTTGCTCTCTCTGGTCCCCAGGCTGAAGCAATTCCAAGTGTGTCCATCAAGAACGGCATCATAAGTATCATTCCCTTGTACACTAACGATCATCACCTCCTGTCCCCTACTAATGCTACATTGCGTGAAGAAGGGCCACCGCATCCCCCCCCTTCTACCCCGGTTTCACAAACCCTCCAACCCATCGATTTCAGTTCGGTGTTCGGCGTAGGGCCTTGCACCCGTCTTGTGATGGCAACGATCGACTTCAGGGAGATGATGATGGACTACATGCGCAGGAATGATCCAGAGGAGAGGATCATGCTGCAGGTGGTTGATGTAGATGAACTGATGTCCACCTCGGGTACCGCCTCCAGCAGCTCTACGTCCGGCTCCAATTGGCGGCCTCATCTTCTGTTCGAGTCTCTGAGCGCTGATGGGAGTCACCGCTACGACACTGCTGTACCTCTTAGCTTATCCGCCGATGGATCACATCGGCTACAATGCTCATGGCGGAACGGCCAACCCTTTCCCATGATGGCGATAGCATGGACAGTTGTCGTGTTTGGTGCTTTGTTCCTCTTGAATCTCCTCTTGATCTTGAACAACCAAGTTTTCTTTGCTCATCGCAACCTTGCCTTCCTCAAATCTCTTAAGGATCGCTTAGAGGCCAAGAACTACTTGTTGGAGGCATCCATGAAACCTCGAGAAACTTTCACATTGGCTGCTGTGGAGAAGGTTAGAAACCTGGTTGGGGATTTCATGTACATGATATGGAGGATCAAGGGAGCAGTTGCGGGGGGGGCCACCGAGTCGCCTTCTCCTGCTGTTTCTGCTTCCAGGGAGGAGACCATGGAAAAGGTCCTTAAGGCGGGGCGTGTCTTGCTTTGGACCGTATCCAATTTCGCGGAATGGTCTAGGATCGACGCCGGCAGAGTGACCATGTATCCCATGGAATTCAGTATCCGCAAGCTGATCGACGAGGTCATCAACAATGCGATAGAGGAATTCCAACTTGAGAGCAGGAGCAGCTACCCCCTCGAAGTTGCGGCGATCGTTCATGATGCTATCCCGGAGATGATATACGGCGACAGCGACAAGTTGAGGGCTGTGCTTTGGAATCTTGTCAGCAATTCGATTAAGTGGTCTAGAGATGGGCATGTGCTCATTTGTGTTCGACTCATTGCTGATGATGAGCGGCTCGAGTTCGACTTCACGAAACGGAAGTCAGCGCCTGGCAGCATTGTCAGCGCAGCCAGTGGAGGGCGGTCAAGTGCGATCCTTCTTGAGGGCTCAACATCTAATAAAGCGAAGCACCTTAAGTGGCTTCATGACAAACTTGCCCTGGCGAAAAGGCGTACATTTGCGCTCATGCCTTCAAGGATGAGATCGTACATGTTTGGAGGTGTGGGAAAGGGCGATTCGAAGTCGGAGATGATGGGGAGTGATCGTGACTTTCAGCAACGTGCTTCGAGTGAAGAAGGAGAGACAATTGTTCCAAGTATTGAAGATGGCGACACTCTTAGTGGGCGAAGGATTGTGAATTGCTGCAACAGTTGGAGTGTAGCATGGCCTAGAATGAACCCGACCTCTCGATCCTACATCTCCAAGCCTCCTCGCCGTGAGAACGGGAGCTTTTTGCTGCTGCTGTCGGTGGAAGACACGGGAGTCGGCATTTCCGCCGATGACCGCAAAAAGGTTTTCAGTCCTCTGGCATCCATTACTCCCCCGGTCATTTATTCGGATACCGAGAACAGAGAAGGTTTGCATGGCATCGGGATCGGGCTGGCTATTGTCAAACGGCTGGTTAACATAATGCATGGTGAGGTTGGGCATGTGAGCATGCCTGGAATTGGAACAACCGTCTTCTTTGTTGTGCCCGTGTTGGACTTGCATTGGGACAGGAGTGCGCTAGACAGGGGGAAGGTGGAAGGAGCTGCGGCAGATCTGCATGCAATCCAGGAAGATGATGAATCCCGTGCAGCCGAGTCAAGCAGTCCAAGCAGGCGTAAGGACAAAGTCTTGGTGTTTTGTATAGACAGGAACATTGTGCGTCAGGTTGTGCTGCAGCAAATTGCTAGCAGACTTTCCCAGGATGTGTTGTACTCTGCAGCATCTAGTTTGGAGCAGTTTTTGGCGCTTGTAGCTAGGACAAAGCAATTGTGGTCACCCTCCTCGTCACAACCCTCCGCTTCAGCTCAACCGCCTTCCGCCGCGTCCCCCTCCCTGTCCGTGCCTTCTTCCTCCTCTGCCGGTTTGGCCTCTGCTTCCCACAGTGACGCGGGCACGTCTTCGTCTGCTGCGGCTATGGCGGGTCATAGTCATCGTGACCCAGATAACATATACATGCCGAGCAATTTCAAGATTGAGAATGTGCATGGGATTGCACGTAGAATCATCATTCTTGTTGATGAGGATCATTGTGACGACCAACCAGTGTCAACCTTGCCAAATTTGCCAGAGGTTTTCAAGAGAGGAGGAGGGCCCACTGCCAACCAGTCAGGCAGCAGGTCGGAAGTTAAATCCAGTTTCTGGGGAAGGTGGGGTGGCTCCTCGTCACAGTCGTCTGCTGTATCGCCTCCAGACAGTCGGGACAGCAATGAAATGCCAGATGTGACATGGTGTTTCATTTGCAGAGATGATGGCCCAGTCACTCAGCAAAGATCGAAACGACTGGGTTTTTCACATGTCATCCGAAAACCATTAACGACCGCTAAGTTTCAAAACCTGTTCACAGAGTCCGCCCCTACACCCACATCTGGCATCGAGGAACAGTGAAGACCGTAATGTGTGCTTTTGTAGCCTTTTGTATTGTCCAGTGCTGCAACCAAGAGTATAACCTCTCTCTCTCTCTCTCTCTCTCTCTCTCTCTCTCTCTCTCTCTCTCTCTCTCTCTCTCTCTCTCTCTCTCTCTCTCTC